GGAGGTCCCAAGGGAAGACAAACGATGGACTCTGGGGCCAGGACGTGGCACCCCATTAGACTCGTCCAGAAAACGCTCCTAAAGGTCAACAAACAGACCTTGATCTACTAACAGGCTTTTTTTTCTTTTCTTTTCTTTTCTTTTTCTTTTTTTTTCAGCCTATCTGTTTGGTTTTTTTTCTTTCCTTTTTTCTCTTCTTTTAAATTTTGTATGTCAATGGCTTTTTTGTTTGTTGGCTTGGTGGTGCTGCTGCCGTAGTCACCATGTTCTTATGTGCCGCTTTGGCGCTGTGCTGTCAAAGCCAGCCTCAATTTTATTCACACATTGATATGTCTGCACGCCCACCTAGATAAGAGAGGTTGGACAAAAAAAATAGGAGAAGAAAATAAAGGGACCAATGGCCCCAGAGGGACATGGGAGTGTGGGAGGTAGGGGAAGGGAGGAGGGTTGGCCAACCTAGGGACAAGGGAACAACAAATGGTTCAAAACCAATGGTAGGGAGGGGATGGGAGGACTGGTAGGGAGTGACCAAAGGCAAGGTAACTGCAAATACCAGGGGCTCAAGTAGAAAGCAAATGTTTTGAGAATGATGAGGGAAACAAATGTACAAAAGTGCTTAACACAATGAATGTATGTGTGAATTGTGATAAGAGTTGTACAAGGCCCCAATAAAATGATTTAATTTTTTAAATGTGCTGAAAAACTGAGCTTATACACAAGTATATATGGCAACTTGATCATTTCATGATATGTGGTAAAAGTAAACAAAACAGTCCTCCCCCTCACGCCTTTGGTTAATTTTCTTCTTGTCATCTAAGACAGTTTTCTCAAGAAGGATGCAAAACAAATCAAATCTAACAAAATAAATTAATGTATCCAGTAGCCCTAGTATGTCGTTTATTGTGTAATTTTCTCTCTTATCTTTTTGACTTTTAGACCCTTTATAGTAGAAATTGTTCACTGATTAAAGGAGGGAATTAAATTATGTAATATGAGCATATCATTTCTCTTTGTTGAAAACAGATGGTGAAACTCATAGTGATGGTCTCAAGGGAATTATCCTCAGCTTTCTCCGGGAAGGAAACATTGTATTTTGTTGCTTTCGAACTATTTTTGGCAACAGTCATAGAATTACATATCTTAAGACTTAACTATCTAGTCCACCCATCTTGTTTTACACAAAAATAAATGGAAGGACCAAGTGATTTCTTAGATACAACTGCACATGTTCCTTATTCTTATGAAAGCTTTACCTTGCCTTAACCAGCAAAATCAATCAACTTAGGAACTCATCCTGAAAATACCCCAAATTGAAAACGTCAGCAGGGTTTAATAAATCAGTGTACTCTTTTCTTGTACAAGTTTTACAATCTATCTTTTTTTTATTATTATTATAGGGAGAAGCCCCTGGATTTATTTTTGAGCAGAGCTTGTCAGATGACTGAGGTAGCTCATGAATTGTCCGATGTGTTCTTGATTGCCATGAATCCAAACACTAACCAGCCTTAGCTCTGTTGCCACATCTGTGGTGTGTGCTGGCATTTGTGTTATTAAAAACTGCAAAAGAAAAAGGTATACTCATTTTGGCAACATTTCTTGGTTGGTAGAATTTTGGGTGGGAGAGATAGATTTTATTGGTATTTAAAAAATGTTGGTTCATTAAAATAGTATTAGAAATGGAAAAAAATCTATGTAAATTTAGAATAATATGTGATTGGGCCTTTTTCTTTCTTGTTTTTCACCACAACGATATTCTTTTCCCAAATACAATTTTTTACCAAAAACATTTTACAATATGCTTCCATTATACTATAAACCAAGGTTGTGCGCTGCACACTGCAGGGTCCAGGCTAAGTGATGGATGCTGAATGAGACTCATTCACCAAACTCACAGCCACTTACTCTAACTCTTGGCTACCCTCTAGGGATGGTTATTAGCCAGAGGCAAGTGTTTGCCACTAGGCGTCGCCCTTGCAAAAGGAGCTCACATTTCTTACACAGAAAGGAGAAAAGGGAGAAAGACAAAAATTATCTCATTTTCTGTGCCTAAGACACATTTGATGTGATTTTTCATTTTCACCGAGTACATTTTAAGAGAAACTTGCACATTTTTGTCATATTACTTTAGTCATATGGGCGGAGGGAAAAATGTTTACTATGAAAGCAAACCTGTAGCTTTCAAAGTGAGTATACCAAATTGGGGGTGGGAGGTGAGGTGAGCAGCTAGATGATGGAGCTTTAATATCTTCCATATCTATTCTTCCTATCCCACCCCCCACTCCAGTGCATACTATTTTTGAGGAAAGAGTGCAAAGGGATGGAGGGAGAGGAGGGGTGAAGTAGGAGAGAAATACGACCATGTAAGTCTTTTCTGTGCCAATGGACTATTTCTTGCTACACACATACACACACACGCAAACTGGCATCATCCTTTGTGTCTTTGCCTTTGTGTAACTGCCTTGTAAATGGCGAAGGCTTTTCATTCCTGCCCACTCTCTCCCTTTCGGGCATTGTACTTGAAACACCTTTCCCAATTAGATCCTCTTCTTGGAGGCCATCCAGCTTCCGCCCAGAAAGTGCCAATAAGATGGGAAAGTGCTCAATTGATTGAGAATACATTTTCCAAGAAAAAAAAATTAAAGTAGACAAATCGTTGAAGTCTCACAGATGTGTCGGCCTACATTCAACCCCCGAAACTTTCTTCATGAAAGTATCAGTCTTTGAGGCAAGAGCCCCAAGGAGGCACCAGCTGGAGATTTCTACAGATGTCCTGGGAGGGGGAGCTCGGGTTGAGACAGCTGGCGAACTTGGAACTAGAGTTCAGCAGCACAGGCAGAGTGGAGCAGCTCGTCAGAGGGGTCTACAAAACTGGCCGTGGGGTGTTTTCTCGGCACCACTGATACAATGGGTCGGTTCCAGGAACAGAATGCCGGTTCCTGGATGCCTGCGGAGGAAGGGCGGCTGCTGCGCTCCCCTCTGCTCCCCTGCACGTTACCGGAACTTCGTTTTCCTTTCCCTTTGCCTCTTTCCAAGTCCAAGGACCATCGTGGCGCCCCCGCCCCTCCCTGCGGAGCGGCCCGTGGGAGGGGGCACTGGCCCGGGAAGAGGGTCAGGGCCATGCAGCCGGCCTCGGCGTCCTCAGAGTAGTTCCCCAGGACACCATCTGATCCCTCCAAAATAGATAGACTTTAATTGACTTATTAAATGTCGAGGCAATCAAGCAGCCGCTCCTTTTTTTAATAGCCCCAAGATCTACATTTAGACAAAAACAGATCCAAGTTCCTGGTAAAGGCGTTTCTTCTCATCCTGTCACAAGTGACAGGAACGGAGGGAAATAGACTGAGAGAGAAAGGGAGGAGGGAGGGAGGGAACGGGAGCGATTGGGGCGGCGGGGGGGGTCTGACGAAGATCCGCACAAAAGGGTATGAATATTTCAGCGGCGTCTTAACGCGATTCTAATTAAAGACTCGGGCTTCCGAACCTCGGGGGACCCGCGCCCCACGTCTGCAGCGCAGCGCGCGCATAAGAAGCGGCGGCGCTGCCCGGCCGCGCGGATCCGAGCGGCGAACTTGGGCGGCCGCGCTCCCACCCACCCGGCGCCGCCGTCCGCCCACTGGCAGTCGGCCGTGTGCGGGCGCCGCGGCTCCCGCGCACCCTGAAAGCTATATAAGCCGAGGCGCCGCCGGGCATGGAGTAGTGGGGCGCGCTGCGACTCCGGGCCCGAGGGGACCGTGCCCAGCCGTCGCCCGGCCGCCGGCCGCTCCGAGGGCGCCCAGGCAGGTAACTCTCGGCTGCGGTCGGTCAGCGCCCCACGCCGCGCGCCCCCCGCTCGGCATCTTCCCGAAGTACAAGTGGCCCACCACGTGCAACTGGCCCGGGGTTCGCGGCCGAGCGTCCCTGCTGCCCCCGCCCCACGCCCCTGGGCTCTCGGCTTCCCGCCTCCTCTGGGACCTCCTCCGGACCTCCGCGGGCCCAGCGGGTCCTGGAAACGGCTTCTGCGAACAGGATTCTCCGGGGGCGCGGCGCGCGCTCGAGCGGCGGACGCGGGTGCCCTCCCTGCCCGCGCCCAGGTTCCCCCGAGCCTCGCCGCGCCCGCCGCCAGCACCTGGGTGCCCTGCTCCGCGGAGCCCGCGCGACGGCCCCCGGCCTGGGAGACCCAGTCCGGGCCGCAGGAGGGGGCTCGGCGAGCCTCGGGGTCCCAGGCTGGGCACTCCATGGAAGGGGCAATACAAGGCATTGCTAGTTTAGAAACTCAATGGGAAGCGCCCCAACTGGGCGCGGATCATCAAAGTGCCACGGCGCTTTCCGCTCCTTTTTTCTTTTTAGGGGAAGATGAAAGGAGCACAAACGGGCATCACATAACTTTACAGTGTTGGCCCCACGGAGAAGTGGGTCAGAGCATCATGTTGTGTTGTTAGGGAATTTACAAAGTGCTTTTGGTACTGCTGTGATACTGGGAAATCATTTCAATGAAAAGTTAAAGGTGCTAGCCCGGAGGGAAGAGGCGTGGAAGACACGGAAGTGTAAAGTCACGGGCTCCAGCCCACGGCGCCTGCACTGCGAACTCCCGCTTCACCTGCCCAGCCGGCCGGGCCCGAGGGGGCGGTCGGCCCGGGTGCCTCCGCAGCAAAGCCACCACGGGGCCAGAGGCGGCCAAGGGACTTGAAGATGCCCTTCGCTTTGGGGCACTAGAGGCGCTTGGGATGCGCTGAGCGAAGGGCCTCCTCCCTGGTGCAGGGAGGTGGGTTTGGGCAAAGCGGAGCTTGGGAGGCTGAACAAACAAATGGGAGGCTTCCAGCGCCAGGTGGCTGGATCTGCCTGCAAGTTTAAGTGGGGGGACTGGCCACTTTGGTCGCCTTCCTCGGCTCCTCCCCATAGGTTTGCTGAGTGTTCGACCCCCCTCCCCCACCAACTCCCGGACTTGCTTTTCCACTCCCAACCACCCCCTTTCTTTCTTCTTTCTGTAAACAGAGATCCCGGAGAGGGTGCTGGGTTTTTTTCCTCCCTCTTCATTCCGAACTTGAGGCACCATCCTGGCCCTTCTAATACAAACTGAAATGAGTGGACCTCGGCGCGCTGTCCTCCTGGGGCTGGTGCTCTTACTTGTAGCAGTGGGACCGTGCCAAGGGAGAAGTGAATCTCGAGAAATCACCGACAGACACACTCTTTTAAACCTCATCATGGAGATCATTCAGGAACTTAAAAAATACCATTTGGGGGAATACAAGCGATTGCAGTTTTTCAGCAAACACGACTTTACTTTGGGCCGTAGAGAGGTTACTGACTACGAAGTTTATCCTGAGGAGCAAAGAGTGGGTAAGTCCTCCTCTCTTTTCCATTGCTTATCTCATCAAGTCTTTACACCCACACAAAAGCATGGACTAACAACTTTACCCTTGAGTATATTTATCGACCTTTGGTTGAAAGTAGCCATGTATTTAAGAACGCACATTTTTAAAAAGGAAATTTTCTGATTGTTTAAAAAAACACAAAAATTAGAAAACATTTTTAAAAGAAAGATAAATTAATAAGAGGTTTTATTCATAGCTGCATCACAGATCACTAGCCCACTTCTCAGGTGCACAAATTGTTACCCATGTCGGAATTTTCTGCCCAGAGCTGTCATTTGTTATTTTAGAAATGGAAATATTTTCAGCAAAGCATTTGCAACTGAAAAAGAAATGTTTTAGAGCTCTCACCCTATGGTGAAATCTTTCCCAGAGCGACTGCCCCATGGGAAATTTCTGAGGAAAGCATGTAAGCTTTAATGCTTTTCATGACACAATTAGGCCAAATATGATAAGGTCAATTTTATATAGACTGACTAAAGTTAGGCGTAAATGAAGACTGACATCAGGGAGATGTCTAAACCTTGCAAGTGAGTAGGCTTCTAATGGAAATGTTCCTTCAGATGATGTGTGGGAAGGAGCTAAAGAGTATTTGTGGAAAAATAAAGTGTGACATCACATACAGTCCTCAAGAAGTTATTGGTCCAGAACAGAGAAGTGAAAATTGATGACACTAATAAACAAAGCACAAAGCCTGAAATGGGAAGACATATCAGTAAAGTTATTGCCATTTACCAAGAGCAAAACAGGAGATGTAAAAGGAGAGACTTTCTTTGCAGCAGTTTTTCCTTAGGAATTTTATGTCTATTTTTTCTCAAATAGAGTTAAAGCATATGTCAATTTATCTACACCAGCCTTCTTAACAGGTGGTCTTAAAGGCAGTTCACTCTTTAACTAAATATATACCATGAAAATGTAAATTCTGGAACAAAGTTTTTATTAGAAGGGTCAGAACTTTTCCCCCTAGAGGTTGTGGCATTTTCCTAAAAGTTATACAAAAGTTATACAAAACGCAAGTAAAATTGATTTATTCATTGGAAACTGTCTAAAATAACTTCCCCCACTATAACTTTATAATTGCTGTCTTTAGATGGTCGAGGCAAGACAGATAGCACTGGGGCTTTGTGCTCTAATTTTTTCCCGTTCTATTTGAGGAAAAATATGTCCCTGAGGAGGTTTTCACATCACCACATATAATAATCAAGGGCAGCTCTGGTCTGTTTTAGTTGGTGCAAATAACATGGCTACAGCAGAATGTTCCAGAACTTCCTTAAACATGCACTCAAGTTTACATGGAAACAAAAGTACTTCTTTCAGGCAATGCGGTAATTCACTACTAATTTCTTTCCCCTGTGACAGAAATTGTTCCTCGAGACCTAAGAGTGAAGGACAAGTTTTTAAAACATCTTACAGGTAACGTTTTCTTTTCATTCATTCCTTTCAAGTTGCTCTGCATCTTGCTGAATCCTCATGATGTGTTTTCTTCCATTTCTTAGGTCCTCTTTATTTCAGCCCAAAGTGCAGCAAACATTTTCATAGACTCTATCACAACACCAGAGACTGTACCATTCCTGCATGTAAGTGACATCTATAAACTGCTGTATAAGTAGTGTTGTGTATGATTTTCTGAAATATATTCCATGTACTTCCATCAAATAGGCCTCTTTTAAAATTCAACTGCTTATGTGTGTGTGTGTGTGTGTGTGTGTGTGCATTTTCTTTCTTAACTCTGTAGCTAGGGATTAGTGTATTCATGGTCCCCTAAAAAAAAGATACAACAAAATGTGTGACAAAACTTAAAAAATTGTTGAAATTAACCTTTGTAATAGATTTCTTTAATTCACATTCCCATTTTGTATATGTATTCTGGGTCATGTTTGTATCTGCTGATACACTGCTGTGTATCATATTTATGATACACAATGAGTGGATTGTTAAAATTACTACTGCCCAGTCTACTGCCTGGGAGTGACAATCAGATTGAACTGAACCATTCTGGGTGAACTTTCTCGACCATCTCCAGTACCCTGAGCAGTGACTTTCCCATCAGTAATTATGATGCCACCTTTCAGGATTTAACAACCATTTCAAAGCTTGCTTGTCTGGCTGCATTCCTCAGTGACTGGAGCTGCAAAGCAATCTCATCAGCCTAGCTCTCAGCTGTACAGTTTTCTCCTCCCTGTTGGTTGCCTTTCAGTGACTAGTACAAAAATGTTCCTGTCGTTTTTTTTCAGCTTGGTCTTTCTTTTACACACAGCAAAACGTCTATCATTTCCCCAAAAAAAGTTTTCAGTCTGCTCTTCACACTTTGCATGACAATAGCAGGAGTGACATCTGCGAAAGCCCTTGCCCAATCTTTTATGATGGGCTCAGGAGTCTTACACCTGATTATTTTACTAACCACTTTCAGACTATGGAGAGCGGCCCAGCTGATCAGCACACCAGTCTTACCTTCCCTGCCTCAAAAAGTATCAATTTACGTGAATTGGAAGCATAGGAGCTCTCACCTCTCAGAAAAAACAGTACTATGTAGCAGGTATTTTTGCTAGGCACATTCACAAACATTCTATCAAGTAATTTTTACAACAGCCCAGTAAGATATGGATTCCTATTATTTTACATATGAAACTATGACAGACAACATTGAAACACATCACACAAGCAAGCAGGAACAAATAGGACCACTCCATTCCAACTCCAAGGCCAGCAACAAACATTTCCTAAGCGGTTTTGCTTCTATCACTGAAAAGTACTATGCTTCAGACCCACCCTCTCATTCATACCATATGTACCTAGTACACCACAGCTTCCTTATTTCTTTCCTTTAAAATAGAACCACCTTCTGTTGGAGAATTATTAACCTGCTTCCTGGAGTCAGAAAACAGTATTGTTCACTGTTGAAAGTATTTTTATATGAAACAGTCTTACAATGATAGCCACCAATTGTAAATGGAGTGTGGTCTTAGGAGTCTTTACATCTAATTCTTCCATTTATGGGTAAGGGCACACATTTTTATGAGTTTAAATTATACACTGTCACATGGATTTCAGCAAAACGGGGACCCAAACTCCATGTTCTGACTGCAGACAGTGCTTCTCTAATCCATGCTCTGCTCCACTCATGCTGCTGCTTCTGCTCAGCCCCTTGGGTTCATGGGACCACGGTCATAAAGTGTGGCAGTGCTCAGAACACAATTAGAGATCATCATTGAAGAGGACTACATTCAAATGAGTGGCTATTGCCTTTTCACCTCAACTTAGGCCCTAAACAACGCCAGAACTGCAGTCAGGCCACAAATATGCTGCGTTAGCCTGCAGAAAGAAAATTCAGGAGTCTGGGCTACTGGAAGAGAAAGGAGCCAAAGGGCTTTCTGACTTCAAGTGTGGATCTCAGGACTGATAACACTGGCACCTTGTTATGAAGTCCCACCCCAGACCTACTGAATCAGAATCCGAACTCTAATGAGGATTCTCAGATAATTTGCACACAAGTTAACATTTCAGAAGCATTGCCTCAGAGGACATTTGTATTTAGTGGGGATATGTGATCAACTTCAGGATTTCGAGATATGTTCCTGGGTCGTAGTTAGTAACAAGAGTGTGATTTAGATCAGCTTTTGAGTTCACACAATCTATCTTCAACAGAAATAAATTGCCTACTTAAAACAATTTGATTCTGGTGCAACTGATTAAAAAAATCAGGAGTCCAGAAGGCACGCCTTTCAGCTTTGGATTCTTCTCCTTTGAAGCCAAGCTAACTTGTACAATAAATATTTAGGTTATTAATAGAAGTGGTGTTAGCTACTTATCTGTTTGACATACTGTGCAGATACATAGTTGTCACTTTAACTCATTCATTCAGATTTTCAGTTAGGAATATGAACACTTTTCCAATTCTAATTGGGATTTTGCTGCTTCTGAAGGCTAAATAGTAGTTATTTGAAAACAGCTGCAGTTTTCCACAGACGTACATTGTAGGAAAATTGCCTTATGGCTACTAAAACTAAGACCTCGTGCCCCTCGTTCTGTTCCAACCCATAGCATCCTTATAGGACAGAGTAAAACTGTCCCAAAGGGTTTCCAAGGTTTTACATTTTAACCGAAGCTGACTGCCATAACTTTCGGTGGAGTGGCTGGCGGGCTCAAACCACCGATCTTTCGGTTGACAGTCAAGTGCTTAAAGTTTTGCATCACCATACCATCCTTTCCACGATCACTAGCCCTCACTTAGCTTCCGCAATATTTATCTAAAAAGGAAAATAGGAAATATTAAGGAAAAATCAGTTTGGTTTCAGAATTGGCCATCACTTCCTTTGGTTATCCAAGAGGCAACTCTGATTTGCCACATGCCTTTTGACCCACTTTCTTTAACATTTTAATACTGAAGGCTTTGTCAATGATCATGTGTGGCTGAGGTACAGTCTGCAAATGAACTTAAAGTTAGGTAACCCCAGGGTGTGGGCAAACTCTCTTCTCCTTGTGTCCTAGGAAAAAAAATAGATGTTCTCTTGATGATCTCTGAGAGCAACTCAGAGAAGAAAATGGGTAGAGAGCAGCTGTGCAATAGTTTTGAAGGCCCTCTTCCTCCCCCACCCCTTCTAGTCGTTAACTTGATCATGTGATGCTGTAACCCCTGAAGTACCATGAATGATTAAATCAAGAACTGAGAGCCCATGATTACCGATGACAGCTTCCATATTGCTCACACGGAATTAAAAATACTTAAAGGAATAAATGGCTTCAATATCTTACTTTCCCCCCAAACAACCCCCTTTGTATATTTCATAAAGTAACATTCAGGTAACTGACCAGAGTCTTCTTTCTTCCCACTGCAGATTACAAAAGATGTGCCCGGCTTCTCACTCGGTTGGCTGTCAGTCCAATGTGCATGGAAGGATAAGGTAAGCTCTCTGACAGTAAAATTGCATAGGCACCCATAACAATGTTGGGGATTCCACTTGAGGCATGAAAAATTCATGGGAATTCAGAAAGACATAGTCTTTGGCAAAGGTAACTTTATTTTGAGTAAGGTTGTTGTAACACTCTTGTTCTCAAAACCTTGGTCATAAAGAAAAGGCACCCCCTGCTGGTGAGAGACAGCACTTCAAATCATCTTGTCTTTTTCACATGGTGATTGACACAGGGGCTTCAGAGGTGAAGTGGTTATGCAGTGGGCTGCAATCTGAGGTCCGCAGTTCAAAATCGTCAGCTACTCCATGTGAAAAAGATAGGGCTTTCCACTCCCATAAAGAATTATAGTCTCACCAACTCACAGGGGCAATTGTAGTCTGTACTCTTTACCACAGGGTCAAGATGAGTCGGCCTTGACTTGATAGCAATGAACTTGGTTTGGTTTTTCGAGGATGTGTGAATGAGGCCCTTGTGGTGCAGCGATTAAGCACTTGGCTGCTAACCAGACAGTTGGTGGTTCAAATCCACCACCAACCTCACAGATGAGGCAGTCTACTTCTCTAACCATTTCAAGCCCAGGAACACCTCGGGGCAGTTCTACTGTCCTACAGGATCGCTGACACTCAGAATCGATGGCAACAAGTTATACGTTAATTAGAAACACAGCACATTGGCGAATTTCAGCACAGGCCTTAGTACATAAATTAGAGTACATATTTAAGACCTTCTTCACTTTTAGAGTTTCACTCACTCACACCCATAAGTGAGCATATTATTCATATCCATGTAAATTCAGTAGACATATCTGATAAATATTTGAAGTTTCATTACATCATTAATCCAATAAGCTTATAGAGAATAGCTACCCTCTTTTAAGCAAAGTTATGTTCTCATAATCTGGTAACTGTAAAAATATAAAAACACACCAACAGTTTATTAAATGTTTTGTCTTGGCCTGTTGAAGCCTAATATTTAGACACATGTTAACTATTAGCTATGTAGTTCATATCAGGACAGCAAAGGTATGTTTTTTTTATTTCTGAGATAAATGTCATATGATTCAGTCACTTTATAGATCAACAAAAGCTTTAATTCACTAGCTTTATAATTACTGTATGCTTTATTTTTGCCAAGCACTGCTAGATGTTGAAGATACTACAGTAAACAAGACATGATTCCCACCTACTAATTGGTGTTTCCCAGAAAATTTATTAGAGCTGACCAGAAATTTTAAATTAAAAATGTGCTTATATTTTATTTTTCTAGTAGTTACTCTAGTTTGATTCATGTAAAATGGATAAAAAGTAGTTCTCTTATATACAGACACCTTTACTATGGAAAAGAAAGACAACACATAAACGTAGAGAGCAGCAGATAAACGTTGAGACAAAGCCTTGGACCTTTGTGGCAGGCATGTCGGAATAAATGTTGACTGAAGGCATGGCAAAGATGCAGAACAGCATCTTTAGCATGTTTTTCCTGCATCATAAATATTAATAATAACAATAAAGAAATATTAATAAACAGGAAAAATGGGGGGAAATGAAGCAAGATATAAAGTGGATAATTATAAAAGGAGACTACATTTTGTACAAGTTGTCTGAAACTTTAGTTTTTGAGGATGTGAAAAGATGGATTCTACTGCTAGTTAAAACTAAGAAATGGAAACAAACCCCAAAAAACTAAGAAATGGAATGTAGTGATTTACCTTCTGCCTTAATTCCTTCTTCTAATATGGTTTAATTTCTAGTATCTTGCTCATGTGACATGGAACAAAGGTTTCACTCTTCTTTCTTTTTCAAACGCAACGAATGGAATGCAGGTTCCTATTAAGTCTCTGAAGATGGGATGCTAGGGGAAAATGAGAAGGCTGTTCTTGTTATTTCCCTACACTTACATCACCAACTTCCAAACTGGGTTCATTATTAGAATACAATTTTATCTTCTTACAGGTGGAGACAATAAATGCCCCCTTTTCACACACAAAAAGTGGGTACTTTGTCTACATTCTTCCTATCTGTTGGCCAGTTAATCGGCCCACCATTGACCTATGGTTCTCCGTTCTCAAGAACCTTAGGAGCACGAGTTCCCAATGGAACTTACATAGAATTACTAGTGAGAGTGGTTTCAGATCTGCATCAGCCTCAGGATTGACACATTGTTGCTTTGACAAAAGCAAAATGAGTGCTACTATGGTTTTCCTTCATAGAAAATTTGTAAAGAGACATAGCGCTTAATTATTTATGATCCCTGGTATTACTACATTAGGCAAATAAAGTAAATATTGCATTGGGGAATGTTGTTGATAATTAACAATACAACCCAATGCAACAATTCCCCACCTTGAAACAGCAAATCAGAATCTGACTAGACAATAAAAGGATTAAGATACATGTCAGAGCTTTCCATTTCTTTAAGACCACCGTATTTGATGACCCCAGTTGCTAGAACTAGCAGTAACTCTGCTGGTTTTGGCCAAGAGACTGGAAATGTTTAAGACACTAATTTTTCCATCTTTATATTGTTTTACTAATTTTCTTCCAATTTCTAAGTGTTAAAATTACAATAATAGATTATTTTAGCTGGTTAGTCATTCTTCTTATTTGAAAGCAACAATATGCAATTACTTTGCAGCTTGGTTTACAAACATCAATGAAAGATATTTTAAGGCCACACCCCCACCAACACTTTATATGGTAGCAGGAAAGACACCACAGATTTTTATGGCTATCACTTTCATGTTACAACAGTAAGTATGTGATGTGGTATCACTACTGGACCTAAATATTTTTCTTTTAAAGCATTTTAATTCAATATGTATCAGATTAATGTATATGTATACTTATTAAGTCATACATAATATATGCTACATAACTAGTAGATATAAAATAAGTCACTACAGAGCTGGCAGAATAAGATTCTTCTTACTCCAGAGTATCATGCCATCTTAAAGGTGCCGGGATTTTGAGGGGACCTTGTACACACTGACGCGATCTCAGAGCACAACACTTTGTTTCATTCCTCCTGAAGCCGTTTAAGCGACCGCCTATCTGTAGACCAGAAATTGTATACACTTACACTCATTGTCACAAATTCAACTCCAACTCTCAGTCACCCTATAGGACTGAGGAGAACAGCCCTAGGGATTTCCAAGACTGTAAACCTTTACAATAGAAAGCAATAGCATTTCAATAGGCAGCATTTTCAGATGAGTTAAAGCTAGAGCTCTGGAATATTGAATAACAAGTACTTAGGGCAATTCAAGTACTCTATAAAATGCAGCCTACGTTTAATAAATTGGGGGGTTATTTTTATCATTATTTAAAAAACTAAGAATAATACAGGTTAATGGTTTCAGTCTATATTGAATCCTATTATACTGGTTTAATCTTATTAGACTGATAATTATTAACACTGACTTTAGAATACCACCTGAGCTACTTTCTGGGACTGCCATCAACTGCCAATCAATGCAGAATGAATTAGTAAGGATTTTTAAGTACAGCACAAATATCAAAAGTATGCATTAGTCCTTAAACTTTAATACACATTCACTTTTATGATTTCTATTCCTTCACTGAATTATTTTAATACCTCCTATATGCTCTGTTGGTACTGACAGGTAAGCTTAGACTGCTAAAGACTGTATATACTCGTGTATAAGCCGAGTTTTTCAGCACATTAAAAAAAATCACTTTATTGGGGGCTCGTACAACTCTTTATCACAATACATACATCTAACCATTATGTCAAGCACATTTGTACATATGTTGCCATCATCATTCTCAAAATATTTGCTTTCTTGAGCCCTTGGTATCAGCTCATTTTTCCCCTCCCTCCCCCTCCTAGGAATCCTTGATAATGTATAAATTATTATTTTGTCATATCTTACACCATCCAACGTCCCCCTTCACTGCTGTCCATCCCCCAGGGAGGAGGTTATATGTAGATCCTTGTAATGTGTTTCCCCTTTCTACCCCACCTTCCCTCCACCCTCTCCAGTATCATTACTCTCACCATGGGTCCTGAGGTGTTCATCTGTCCTGGATTCCGTTTCCAATTCCTATCTGTACCAGTGTACATCCTCCGGTCCAGTTGGATTTGTAAGGTAGAATTAGGATCATGATAGTGGCAGGGGAGGAAACATTCAAGAACTAGAGGAAAATTGTATGTTTCATCATTGCTACACTGCACCGACAGGCTCGTCTCCTCCCAGCAGCCCTTCTGCAAAGCGATGTCCAATTTCCCCCGGATGGGCCCTGGGTCCCCACTCTGTACTCCCCCTCATTCACAATGCTATGACTTTTTTTTTGGTCTTTGATGCCTGATACCCGATCCCTTCGACAACTTGTGATCTCACAGGCTGGTGTGCTTCTTCCATGTGGGCTTTGTCAATTCTCAGTTAGATGACCCCTTGTTTATCTTCCAGCCCAGATTCTATATCTTTTGACAGTCGGACATCATTAGCATTCTTCACATTTGCTTATGCACCCGCTTTGTCTTCAGCGATCGTGTCTGGGTAGGCTGATGTGAGCACATTTTTAATGCAGTTTTTGTGGTAAAATTAGGTGCCTCAGCTGATATTTGGGTTGGCTTATACTTGAGTATATACAGTAAGTTGTCAGTTCAAAACCACCAGCAGTTCTGAGGGAAAAGGAGACTAACTGCTTGTGGAGAAAGATTCAGAGCTTCAGGAACCTGTTCAGGATGGCTATTAGTTAGAGTGGACTTGCTGATGGGTTTTTATATGCCAAAAGAGGCCTAGTGTCATTGTGGATTAGGAATTGGGCAGCTAGCTGTGAGGCTATTGTTTCAAACCTACTAGCTGCTCCAGGTAAGAAAAATAAATAAATTGGGAGTTTAAAGATTTACAGTCTCAGAAAACCTATGGATTTGGCTTTGGGGTTTCCTCTATGCTAGGCACTAGACACATAACAATGGAATTGCTATTTTCCAAAATAAAGTAGATTATATTTTTTTAGGACAAAAAAGTATCAAGATTTCTTATTACAGAAATGTTACACTGTTTACTTTTATTTAACTTCCAGGTAGGTCTCAAATGTTCATATAAACAGCAAGAGTAGCTATTGTAAACTGAGCAGTAATACAATGAATGTATTTATTCTTGGCAGGAATTGGAGCAGTAAAGAAGCAACACACCAAGAACCATGAGAAGTGCCTTGGAAATCAACAGGGAAATATCTTTATAAACATATTCCCTTGCGAACAAGAGATTTATTTTTGCAGACTCTTCCATAATTCCTTTGAGTTTTTTATGTTGTTGACACTATTTGCAGGTATATATATTTGGTATATCAGTATACCTGCCAGTGATATGTATCGCTCTTTATTTTAGAAGACAAAAGTTATCATACTCCACATTTGAAGTATAGCTCTAGAAAATAACAGAATATTTCCTGTTGCTGATTAGCAGAAATCACAAAGAATATTTCTTTAGAAACATAGACTCTAAAACTATATTTTCATATAGTATATGTTATGATGTGATTTTATTACTTTTACAATTCCATTCTTTGACCACTACTGGAAGTTGCATGAATGAAAAAGAAAACTTTGGTCATATTTTGGACAAAGTGAAATATAAATCTGTGAACAACCTATCCAGATTAAATTCATTTGTCCATTGTATAATAAATGTAAAATAGTATGCCAGCTATTGTGTAATATGTAAATACTGTAAATAAGCACAAGTAATAAATGAAGTGTTTATTATAATCAATAGTTTTCCAAGTCATTGTTTATTTCCTAGTTAGCAAATTCAGTATTGGGAATCCATGGTTGTAAATCTTTTGAAATCACTATACGAGCACAGCCTGTCAGAGAGGACATAAGGCACAGTTCCATATAGAAACTCATGCTAAGAATTTCCGTAAAGAAAAAGTCAGCATTTTTCTTTTTCCTTTACGTAGAGGATACCATATCTTGGTGACTTTATAATTCAAGAAAACACAAAGCAACCAGGGACCTTTAAACAACTCCAGATTTTATAGACAGATGCATCTTACACTAATCAGATTGGATACAATTTATAAAGGTAAATTAAATAAAGCAATGAGTCTCAGTTTAAATGACCCCTTATAAACAACAATATTGTCTGCTTATAGCCAAAAAGAAAAATTTGGCACTAAAGTACTAAGATTAGTTTGCTATTCAAGATATAGACATAAAAATTAAAGAGAAAACAAAACAAACAAAGATTTTTATCTATGAACACACAGAACAGTAAAAATTTCCTGGAGATTCTTAAGCCATTAAGGAAAGGGTTAGAGACAGGTATGATAGGTCATTTAATCTTGTTTCCTAATTCAAGTCAATTGCTTTCCCATTTTTTCTCAATTTACACTTTTTTGGAGGAACTATTATCAAATTATAAATCTATTTTAGCCTTTCCAACTTTATCTCCTAGAAAGTTTTCTAGATAGGAAAACCACACATAATTTTATTAGGGCACTGAAATTCATGTGGAGTTAGGTGTTTTGCAAACTCTTCTTCTCATAATTACATTGCAAGGAAATCAGTGTTGCCTTCGTGTATTTTTCAGAGAAGTATCAGCTACCCGCCTTCTCCTCCACTGAGGGACAGGCTGACCTTTCAAGCACAAGTGGATTCAGGATGTACACCCCCAACCCCACACCACTTTGTGACACTGAAATGTTCAATGTTCTGAGAACCACCAGAGAATCAAATGTCTTCCTAGAAAATGCTATGTACTCTTTTAGGTGATGCTGCCTCACAACCTCTTTATGAAGATTGAATATTTAAAGTTATTTTAGGGTTTCAAATCACTCTGAATGGGGAGGATTAAAACATGAAATACTGAACATTAGTATTAATACTTCCATGTGCTTAGGGGCACATTTGGAAGGTGTTGTGTATGTCTGTGGAAGGAAGTTGGGATCAAATAAGGAAACCCACCTTCTGAGTAATGGTGGTGGACAAACAAGTGGGCATCACCACCTGTGGTTGCAATGACCTTGACTTTCTTGGTCAATAAAGAATTATTAGATGAAAGGAACGTACTGATTCTCATCATTTTACTCCCTAATACATAGATAACTGAAATGGACAAAGGCCTACTTGATTTCTAATGCTCATTTTTTTTATCAGCAAAAATAGGCAGACACCAAAATTCTCAAGTTATATTTTTATACTCCTCAGTTTACTCTAAAAACAATCTTCACTTATATATGCAAATGATTTTGAGATTACAGTGACCTCAAGGCACAAATATCCATATTCTCCTATAAATATAGTAAACACTTCTGAAAGAACTCATTAACATATCAATATGCCAACTTTTTAAAGCATCTCTCCCCTGTTCTAAGTCTACTTATCTATTTGACATTTGGGATAACCCAAAATGCATATGCAAAAAGACATGTTTGTCAAGTAAGACTAAGCAGCATGCAGTATCCTTTTGATAAAATTGAATTTTCAGAGGGAAAGTGATTCAAATAGGAGCAACTAAGCTGGCTTCCTAAGGAAATAAACTAGATAAAAATTAAGAAGCATGAAAGGTGTGCAAGATGATTTCCATAATCCTTTACCTGTTCTTTTAACATAAAAGTGTGTGTAAATTAGAATACATCTCATCTAGGCTGATGAGAATTGGTTGATGAAGAATGTTATTCAATGAAAGGCCCTGGGATAAAAAGATGAGAGGTAGTTTGTGGGGAAGTAGAGGATGCTTGTCCTTTATTAACATATCCATGTAACCTATTGGAGAGGTAGAACAGGCTATTTAAAAGTCTCAGTTGGCCTATTGTTGGCCAGAACCTTAAAGTGATGTTTTATTTCATTATTCATTATCACCATAATTAAGCAATTCCAAGTGAAGGCAGTCTTTAGATGTTTAACTGCAAGCACCAGATAATGATGCCATTTCAAAACATGCACAAAATTTTCTATTTTGTTGTTTTACTACTTTGCTTATAATGAGGGTAAGTGGGAAGTTCAACTAACGGAGAAGATTTAATGTACCCCATAAATCAAATGTTTATTCTTCTGCCAATCACAACTGATTTCCATCTACAATCATTTTTCACATAAGAAACAGTAGGTCAACTGAAGAAGCAGCTGTGACTCTGAGCTATGGAACTAATGTGACTGCGCCGACTGATACTGCAGAGCATCGCGGGGAAGGTGCTCGTCACAGTAGGCCTTTAGCAGCAGTGAACGGTGCAGCTTTAGCTTGCCTTCTCCAAAAATGCCTTGCAGCACCTAAGACACTGCTGGTACACAGTCTCAAAGTCAGAGTCATTCCCCTAAAAAGGACAGGGCAAAAAAACAAAGTAAGTCAAACAAAAAGGGTTTTTAAGAGAACCTTAATCTGTTACTTAACATGGCAAAATATACAAACATGGTACCCAGTACACTAAAGATAAAAGGAAATGTGAATTGTACTTACATAATAGGGATCTTCAATGATAACTTGTTTTTGTGGATCATAGTTTCCAAGCAGTTCAATTTTAGCTTTGCAGTTTTTAACTTGATTACCTTTTCTAGTCAGATCTCTGTAAAACGGAAACATGAACTTAAGTTCTCTGCTCTATGGTTTCAAGTTAAACAGGGACATCTGCTAGGGTTTATGAGACATCCATATCAAAATCCAACAAATGTGACCTGATTTAAAAGTGAAATCAAATATACAGTAGATCTGTAGGATTCCTCATGTTCCAGGCTGCTATATCTCTAAACAAGAGAGCCTATAATGACAGCATATTTTCTGATTTCTTATACAAATTAAACACGCTGAGTCAGAAAATAACTGTTTCTCATGTGCAATGCAGTCTCCTCTGAAACCTCTTTCAGAGATAAAGAAAGGGGACTGACAGAAAGAACTCCACAGTAGGAATCACGTTCCTTCTTCTGCAGGCCTACCATCCATAGTCCTTTGACACTCATTATCGTGCAGGATGGCTCACTAATCACTTCTTTCATCGATTTCTCCGGTCACTCCCCAAACTGAACACCCATCTCCACCCACCTATGTATACTCTTCTACCTTTAGCTTTCTGATTGCTACAAATTGGCATTTAGCAAAGCAACACTTGAACCATTCATGCATTTCACAAGTCACACACTATGCTAACATATGGGGGGTGAAACATGACAATCAGGAACTGCTGGTCATGAAGCTTACAGTACTGTGGTTACATTCAAAGATAAAGAATTACTGAACATCTGTAGAGAGTATAATGGAAGAATCAGGGAAGAGATGACATTTTATCATCCTCCCAAAAGCACCTGAAACGGAATGCCAAACCAGTCTGGGCATTTTACGAGCTCCTGAAAAGTTATTCTGGACAATACCTATAATGCTCATTAGCCTATAAATGGGAAAAATGAAATAAACTACTGAAACAAAGTTTATGCATTTCAATGAAAATCTTGAGTAAAAACATAGTAACCACATACAATGCAAATTTACATGTTATAAAAAGATGTCATTAAAAAAAAAAAAAAAGAAGAAAAAAAAAGATGTCATTTAAAGAAAAAGAATGCATTTTATTATGTAATGATAAAAACAGCAACAGTAATAAATGAAGGTTAAAAAAAGCAACAACGTGTTATCCATCTCTGGTCATGCCTATGAACGTAAATGTAAAAGTGTCTCCTCACCAAACGTGTAGATGGGCCATTAATAAAACAGTATTGTTAACAAGATGATACCGAATTATGACCAGTTCATTGTTGGCCATGTATTTGCTTCTATTCCTAAACAGTAGGGTAATAAAAGTGCTGTAAATAGAGTAAACAGTCTGCTAGATCTTAGTGTACTAAATAGTAAAACCTGTAGTGTAAGTGTCCTTTAGTTTTGAATCAGAAACCATTGACACATTTCATTTGGTCATTTAAGCTAAATGTCACTAATTTGGCACTTTATCACATTGTCTCAGTTCATTTTCTTTCATTCTGGTTAATTTTACCTGAGTAACACAGGTAGACCACAGTAGACTCATGACAAACCCACAAAGGTTTTCTTTCTATGCTGATTTCTCAGAAGTCCATCACGGCTCTTCTTTCTGAGGCCCTGAGTAGACTGAAGCCTCTTTCCATCAGTAGCTTAACTCAGTCAGATGCCCACCTAGGAACTCCTTCTTTACAGTGGGCATCATGCCTGCCTGCTTCTTTATTACTCTTTTCCAGGGCCTAACAGTGCCTGACACAGACAGCTGAAGAAATGCCACCATGTGCTGTGTAGGTAAAAATATTCCCTTGAGGCCCTTACTTACATAAAGGGCAGGAAGGCACAGAGCTTTTAGGGTGGACTCAGGTGCAGCATGCCAGGATTCTCTCCCTATCCACTCCTTAGTTTTATGAATCGGGGTAGGTAATCTAACTTCTGTATTGATAAAATGGGGACACTACTACTAGCCTACCTCATTGTGTTGTTATGAAGAATCAAAAAGTTAAAATGAATAAAACACTCTGAGCCATGTAGAGCACATAAAATTAGCATGTAAAGAGTAGGCTTATTATTTAATACCTTCATCTGCTATTTTTAATCAAGTCGACTGTGTAATTAGAGTAAAAGTATTCTTTTCATCACTCTTACTTTATGGGAAAGAGCAGAGGCAGGGCGGTGTAAATTAAGAAAGATAACACTCAAGCTTCTATCCATAGCAAAATATTAGTAATGAAATAATATGTAATTTACATTAAACTGTATCATCACATACCTATTCTGAAAATTCTATCATCCTGCTTGGAAGTTCCCTTATTTTAATAAGTATACTTATGTCACAATTCTAAAAAAACTCAATGAATTTCTTGCTAGGCTAAATAAATGTGCTGTACGTGGTGACTACACCCATCAATTTTAAGTTTAAAAATTAGAAAAACATAAAAGGTCACTTTGATCAATAAACTTCTTGGCCTATTACTGGATAGAGTTAAACAGAAATGCTCGTTTAAAATGCTATTACCTCAGATTGCTTTCATCCATACACAGTATAAAATCAAATGTGGCAAAGTCTTCTTTGGTAATCTAAAATTAAATAAAGAAGTTAAAAAAAACCAACAACACAAGTTTTGTATTTATACCAGGTGAGTCTAGAGGAAAGTTTTAAAAAACTTTTAAAAGGGTCATATTACTGGGTCCTACAGGCCTGTATTCAAGCAAACAGCCATCTTCTCATCTAAGTGAGACGTCAACTAAGTCCACACAGAAGCACTCCAGCTGGTGTCATCCAAAGATGACAATCACAAAACTTGAATATAGTGAAAAGTATCAGTGCTAAAATTATGAACACCCAATTTGTAGAAGGTTATAGAGGACACTAGAAGCCCCAAACCCACCGAGCCCCTGGCAGATCTGCCCTAGCCAAGACAAGAGCCCCGCACAGCCTTACTATCAAGCAGACCGTTGTAATCTTGATGATGCTGGACCGAACACGGTACTTGGCCAGTTGACCTCCCCACAGACATGACCTGACATTGTTCTGGGTGCAAGTATCTTTTAGATGGTCCATGACAGAAATTTCTTCCCTGGCTTTTTGAATGTTAATGGAGGTCTTCTCTCTCTCATACATTATGTCTGTCTTTATACTAATATGATCTTATCCTTACCACCTTAGTTTGATTTTCATTGTTTTCTTTTGGGCTTCCCAGCTGTGAAGCACAGGAAGACTGGATGTATAATGATAATAACTGATACAAGGTGTTATAGAGCATGCACAAGGGGCTTTAGGGGGATAGGCGACAGAGGGAACGGGGATTTCAGAAGTAAACAATGAAGGCAAGAGGGGGGAGCAAGCACTAGAACTGATCATGATTGCACAACAGTTTAAAGGGGATTTAAAAATGGTGAGGGGAGAGGCTCCAAGATAGATGTGGCAATTGTACAACTCCCCTTGATGATTGAACGATTGAACGGTTCAAGTGTGGGATATGCAACTTATGGGCCAATAAAACTGTTGGGAATAAAACAGTTTTTTAAAAGGGGTCATATTTGAATATGTTACTCACTAATTAAGGGAGGTACTTTTAAGTTTTACAGCTAACCTTGTTCCTAAAACTATATTGCAAATTAATTTTAAATTGTAAGATTCCTTGGAATGGTCATAATATAATGGACACAGATTATACCTTGGCTCCGATTTCTCAGAAAGTATAATTCAGTCAGCATGCAAAAAATATTTTTAATACTCTCATAATTATTTTATCTTATCTTTTCATTATGCAAGTTCTTATGGAGGGCCTACGCTGTCAAGCAGTATGCCGATCCCTGCTGACATACGCGAAAGGAAACTAAAGTAACGGATGTTTCTGTCTGTGGGACATATTCTGGATGTATGGGCAACAGATAATACATAGAAAGCAATAGATACATTATGGGGGAAATAAGCAGAAAAGAGATACCAAGTGTTTAGGGGGAAGCTGTGAAGATAAAATGTAAACAGGGTAGCCAGGCAAGATTTATTAAGAGAACATGAGCAATATATTCATTAAATCAGTTTCTTCTTTAGACTGAAAAAATATCCTTAATTTCAAAATGATATAAAAAGCATGCCACTCAGTACTTTTGATTCTAAATAGAAAGCCTGTACATTATTTTCTATCACAAAATAATTAATAAGTATATAAGACTACTTAAAATATATATTTTAATATGCTAGCTGTTATATCAGGAATTATAGAAGAAAACAAAGGAATCTAAGTATGCTGCAGGATAAAGGTGGAAATTATTCCTAAGAACTTCAATAATCATCATCCTCATTAGAAAACACTTTAAGATATAGTTAAAAATACTTTAACTATATTAAAACTCTGGTAAAACAAGATAGTATTTTAACAATCAGTATATCAAAACAGTAACAAATACTCCTAGTACTGTATAAAGATGAAAAATGCTAACTTTTCGTATGTGCTTTCATCCATTTTAGTGTGTATTCGTGTCGCTGGTTTCCATCAGCCCAGTTCCAAAACTTGCTGACCTGCAGCTAACAAGAAAAGGTGTCTGGGCCTTCCCCACCTTTGTGATTGCTGCTGTTTGAGTCATTGCTGTGGCTACTCAGGGCCCCATCCGGAGGCTCTTGTTTGCGCTCTCTACCAAACATGATGTCCTCTTCTAGTCAGTGCTATTTGCTGATGACTTATTTAAAGGAAGCAAGCTGAAGCCTCACCAGCTTGACTTCTAAGAGACATTCTGGTTATATTTCCGAAATGCTAGTTCCTCTGATATTGTATTTTCAATGGTCTTCACCAACACCAGTGTCTTCCTTTTGCACTGTCCAGTGTTTGCGTGCTAATAAAGTGCTAGGAATACGCTTCAACTGGAGCACATTATAAACTATGTTCACAAATTGTTTATCTCAGGGTTTAATAAGAAACACTTTTTAGTTTGGGCTAATTTTTTTATGGATATGCAAAAAAGAAAGCTTAGTAACTAAAAGCTACCTACTAAGCCATTTATAATTTTGAATAATAAGAAGACCTGACAGACAAGTAGCATCATATAAACAATGCATAGTTAAAAATTCTGCTTGTAGCTAGAGTAAAACTTGCAAAGGCTAGAGATGGTTACAGGACCTGTGATAAAAGGGAAAACAATTACTCTCCACTAACAGAGCACGGTATTTTCAAAAGGCAGAAAACTTGTGATACTTGGAAAACAAAATAGTCCTGTTAAGTTCCAGATCTCACATATTTTACTGTATAACTTGTGGCAGAAAGCCATAGAAAATCCAGACAAAACCCCCCAGACATCTCTTAAAAATCACTAGAGAGCTTTCCAATATCAAATCCCAGAGGTGTATACGGGTCTGCAAACTCTATTTGTAAAAGACAGTAACTATTTCAGGTTTTATGGGCCACATAGGGCAGTCAATAACTACAAGGTCAGCAGTTTGAAGCCACCAGCCACTCCATGGGAGAAAGATGAGGCTTTCTACTCCCATACAGAATTAGTCTCAGAAATCCATAAAGACAGTGACCCCATCCTACAGGGTTACTATTAGTCAGATTTTACACAATGGCCTCGAGTTTGGTTTTGGTCATACAATCCCTCTCATAGCTGTTCAATTCTATTGTTATAGTACAAAAGGAACTACAGGTTAACATATAAGGTACAGTTGGCTAAGTGCCAAAAACACTTATTTACCAAAAAAGGTGGGTGGGTATAAGGTAGGTCTACTCCTGCCATGGAGAGGTGATGGCACTTGCTGATACATGGTGCTAAGAGAGACGGTAAAACTCTGGTTATAAAGCCCTTTAAACTATTAAAAATTAATTAGCCTGCCCTCAAAGGATTGTTTTGATATTACATTTGCAATTAAAACTGCAAAAATTAAAACATCTAGAAGTCTTTTAAAAATAGATCTAGGAATCTATTAGTTAATATCACATGCATAGATAAACGTTTAAATGAAAAACACAACTGCATTATCTAAAATTAAAAAAAAATGGTGAGCAGAGTGACACTTATATCTTGTAAAGCTCTTTAATAAGGTAAACTACTGAAGGGTTTGGTTAGTAGTTAATGGTTGAATACAAAGTTGATGATCTGAAATGTAAACCTTACCTAATTTGCAACAAAAAAGTTATTTAAAAAATCTGCTTAACAGAAAATCGGTAAGACTCTCATATCTGCTTCTGCATTTGCTCTGCTGCAAAATGTTTCAATTTAAGTATATGAAGCAAGCATTAGTATTCTTCAATACCACACTAAAACTCTAAGTAGCAGTTTCTCAAAGTTATTTGTCATGTGGAATCTGAAGCCATAGGAATACACTTTCACACTCTGTATCTTTCAAATCTATTGGTCTATCTTGTACTTTAATAACTTTCTGTCAGATGTTTTTTTACTGTGGTGTTGTTACATATTGCTGTGATGCTGAAAGCTATATGCCACTGTTATTTCAAATGCAACCAGGGCCACTCAGGGTAGCTCAGTGTTCATGGAGTTTCCACACTATGAAGAAAGAAAAAGAGAGTCCACTTCTGAGGCATTAGCTACTGAAAATCTTATCAACAGCAGGGGAATAGTTTCTGATACAATGTAGGAAGATGGGTCACTTAGGATGGAAGGCACTCAACCGGTGACAATGAAAGAACTGGCCTCTGAAAATAACGTCAGTCGGAATGAGGTAGAAGGAGCAAAGCTGTTAGGACCATTAGTTGCTAATGAGGCATGATGCAAAAGGAGAATGGGGGGTGGGGGACAGGAGCTGCAAACATCCATTTATAAAAGGAATGAAAAATATACAAAGTATGAATCTAGGAAAATCATTATCCCACACATTAGTGAGCAGAAATGGACGGGAACTGTCCACTTTTAATAGAATAATCACATGGCTTACTATCCTGGGAAGAGCACATTCAAGAGGAATGAATGCCATTGCATTCATCATCAAAAAGAATATCCCAAGGTCTATCTTGAAGAACAAAGCTGTTTCTAGGGAGATAACATCTCTACAAGCTTTAAGTTGCAACACTGAAGGATTGATTATATGGGCACGATATAGAAGAAAAAAAACACACAGAGTCACTGTACTAATAAAATAAAATGGGTTGATCTGCATCCATTTCAAGAGGTCGAGTAAGATCAAGAGCTGATGGATGGTATTGAAGAAGGATGTGCAAACTGTACTGAAGGCATTAATGAAAAACAAGGCTCCAGGAATTGACAGCACACCAACGGAAATGTTCACACAAACTAACCGATCACCACAGCCACTCCCTAATCTGTACCAAGAAATTTGGAAAAGACAGCCAACTGACAGTGAACTGGAGGTGAGGAGGACTGGGACTAGATTAAAGGCTACAGCGTTTAGTATGGGTTACAACTCAATGTAAGATCAGAACACAGGGTATTGCTGTTTATCTCTCAATTCAGTCATAGGCCAAGTTCATTTTCCAAAATGACCTTTTGTGCTTCTCAAATTTTTAACTTAAAACAATGTATACCACATTTAGTAAGAAATTTACTGAGTAATTTAAAAACATGACATAGGTATACTTATTTTAAGATAAGGGAAAATCCAACTG